TCAATGGTTACCCCAGAGAAGTTCCTTTGGAAAAACACAATCTGGTTAAAATTGATCCTAGGGAAGGCTCTTGGACTACCTTCAAATTTCAAATTCTATTTTCAGGTAAGAGGAAAAGAGAAGGATGGAAACTTACCTAGTTCTTAGTTTCTTTAGTTTCATACTTCTTGTCTCTTTCTTCCTCTCTAAAATATTCTAGCCCTTCTCACTCGTAAGGTTTTGAATCCTTGAAGACATTAAATCAAGATTTAAATGAAGATTAACAAGGCACTGTGTTGTACTGCAAATTAAAATAGAACAGTGCTTAAAAACTACTATAAATCTTGTAGTTCACTAAGTAGGGTGTCAATGGAACGTTTCAGTTTTTGTGACAACCTAGAAGATGTGAGGAGAATGGCAAAGGGGTGGCAAAGGGAGGAGGCAGAGACAGGAGAACTTGGTGCACCAGGGAAACAGCACAGTACAAACACAGAGCCAGACTCTGCACTGTTAGTGGGAATGCAAAATGGAACTACCAATTCAAAGAACAGTTGGGTAGTTTCACTGGTTGTTAAATGCATACTTTCCAAGTGATGAGCCACTCAATTCTACACACACAAATAGCCTCAACCCAGTTTAAAAAAAAAAAACACAAATAGTGAACCCTAATGTAAAGTATGGACTTTAGTTAAGAATAACGTATCAATAGAAGTTTAAAATTATAAAGATTTTTATGCTTAATATTCCTCATGTGGGGGTGAGGATTCCAAATCCACCCTCCCTAAAGCACAGACATGAGGCTCTCTTAACCACTCCAAACAGCCTTGCGATCCCTATGACTTACCTGCGTTTTAAGGCACCTGAAAAGCAGCATTTTCCAGAAGTAAGCAAACCTCCTGACGTAGAAAGTGGGAAGACTGCAGGCATTTGTTCCCCTGAGAACCGGAAGTTCTGTGCATGCGAGGAAGACGATGTGTTTGCTCAGGGAGCCTGGGTTCTGGCAAGTCCGTCCCACGGTGAAAGGTGGAGGTTGAGCCTCTGGTCCATCAAAGTCTTGGCTCTTAAGTAGCCCACCAGCTGTCTTCCTGCCCCAGTTACCGGGCCCTTCACCTCTGCAGGCCTGCTTTTCCCACCTTTATCCAGGATGAGCTCCTTGGATGCTCTGCCCGCCTCCTTGCTCTGACACTCCCTCTTTTTCCTCCTCCACAAAACTTGATTCATTTCTGCCACAGTCGGTCTCCATCCAAGTCCAGTTTTGATCTCTCTTTCCTAGAGAATTCAACCTAGGAACTTTGGAAATCTTCAAGGTCAAATCCATTACTTTACAAAGGAGGTAACAGATTCCATGAGGTAAGGTGACTACCGTAGGACAATGTAGTTAATTCTACATCCACCATTGCCACCATATTAGGCAACTGAATAATCAAATGACTGCCATGACCATGTGTCCAAGATTTTGAATCCCGATTTCAAATGTCCTGTACGGTCATCAGGACACATTAAGAATTTCACTATCTAACATTGCAACTGCTACTGCAGATGTGTTAAGAGGGACCTTCTGCAAGCAATACATTTACTTCTGTTACTAAATCCAACTTTCCAGTTATGAAGCACTGATTCTTAACTTTTTAGTGCAATGAACTCTCTTTAGGAAACTGATGAAACTTATGGACCCTCTCCACACAAAAATATTTCCACAGAAACATAAAATTTTGCTCCAGTGAATTAACCATGCAGTACATGACTGTGAAAACCCTTGCTCTGATAGCAGAAATCAGCCTATCTGCCATGTGGTCAGGGACAACTTTAAAATAGCTCTTAAATCCTAACAAAAATTTGCCAACATTTATATGACAGATTACAGAGCACGTTTAATCCTCACAACAACCCTGTGAGGTAGGTATTAATACCCCAGTTTTACCCACAAGGAAACCACAACCCAAAGAAGTTTGGAGACTTGCCAAAGTTCACACAGCTTATAGTTGCAGTGCCAGGACTAGAAGATGGGCTTTTTGTTCCTTGATCAAAACATCTTTACATGTAATGTGCTCAGTTTGGGAATTAAGATCCTACCGAGGGAAGACTCATTGGCAAGCCCTTTCAACAAAGAGGGGACTATGAGAGGCTACAGAACAGAGCCCAGTGAGCTGTGTGGACACACTCCCCGAGCATCATTCCCGGGCAGGGATACGAGAAAGGATGTCCTTAGAATTGCAGGCTTTGGGGTCCAGACAACAAACACCATTCGAAGGAACACAAAACAAAACGAAAGCAGATGCCAGAAGTTGCAAGACACACAGGTTTGGTTTTGGTTCTGTTTTCACCATAGTCATGAATAATTTGGCTCTTTTCCCAAAGAGCTGAAAGTTAGCTGGGAGGGGACCCAAAAACATTTTCAAAAAGGCAGAACATACACCAAAACGGGAATCTGAGAGCCAGAAAACAAACATCCAAACTTCACCTAAAGATTAAGATGCTTGGAAACCTGATAAATGGCCATAGAGAAACACCTCCAATAGGGAAAGGTGGGGTGAGAAACCCTAATCAACCCGTAAGCCAGAGATTTCAGAATCTCCACAAAGTCTCTGGTCATATTCTTCATGACCCAGAACCTTCTTTGGCCATCTGCTCAAAGACATGAAGAGAGGGAAGTTCATGCCATTGTTTCTGGGCTGGATCAGTGGAAATTGAATGCTGTCCAAGGACTGTGGCAGGTTTTTGAAAGTTTTCAACGGTCCACAGCAAATGAGAAAACTATGGTGGTGCTGTTGTTTTAGTAAACGAACCTATCTATCCAAATGAGAGCACTGTCCACCACTGTGCTACCTTAGTACAAAAAGCACTCTTCAAAATGCTTGGTAAAATGACAGTAATAGAGCCAATTTCCTTCACCCAGCTTTGTATGTATGTATCAGAGTGTCTACCCAGCCAGTGCCTTAGTTCCAGGGTCTTGGGGACTCTGGCCAGGCAACCTTAAGGCCCTTGCCAATTATCTTCAGCAGAAATGAACACCTTAAAAACAGACCACGTAGGAAAGGGTTTCCGGATCCCATCATAACCTACCAATCTACCCCCCTCAAACTCTGGAAACCCACAGCTACTTTTCAATGTCTGCTTTGTAAAACCAAACCTACTCATACAGCAAACCCTGACTCCCTCAGAAGGCCCCCCAGCTTCAGCAAAGACCCTTAACCCACCCTTCACATAGTGGTAGCCTCTTCTACAAGAGGGGTCTTCGGGCTCTCTGGACTTCGGGGACCCATAAATCGGATACCAAAATGTTTTTCTTCAGCTTCTTTGTGGTCATTTGGGGATAAGGATGCTTCTTCATTCTTCCTTTGCATTTTCCAAATTTCTCACAACTCCCTTCTCCTCCATTTTTCACACAGCATGACAGGCAAGCGAGAGCCTGAGGTGAGTCGCAACTGAACCACTCACAACAGCACAGAGGTACTTCAAGGAGAGGAGAGGAGAGAATACGGCCCGTCACACCGTGCCTGCGGGTATGGCGCCAGGACACAGGAAGCGTCCTATCCCTGACTCACTTCAGAATAGTGACTGTAACACCATAACCCGGGTTCCCACCCGGGGGAAGGAGGGAAGCCACGTATCCTTAGACCATACACAACAGCTTGTCATCCACCCTCAGCCCAAGAGCAATTACAAGAAGACTTCAGGACCCATTCTGGGGGCCTCCCTTTTCTTAAACACAGAAAAGGGAGTACTCGGAACGCCACTTCTCACCCCACGCCCTACAGGCAACCATGACATTATCTCCCCTCTACATACGAGCTCTTCTAGAGCACAGAAGGACTCATGTTCATCTTTTATCACCAGTACCTAGACAGTGCCTGGCATGTAGTCAGCACTCCGCATTTACAGGAAGGAAAGGAGGGAGGAAAGAAGGAAAGTTGAAGCACAGGAAGGGATGTTTCCTGTTTCCTGTTCTGTGGGTTTCTTGTGTGTTTCTTCCTTTGCCGTCGCCCCTCCCCTTAGCCTTTGCCCTTTCCTCAATATTCATTTATCTTTCCTTTTGTACAACCTCTACCTAAATCAGTGTTTCTTCTACTTTTTTCCCCCTTATGTTTCTCCTCTCTCTGTTGCTGCAGCCTAACTTCCCTAACACTTTTATTCTCTATAACGTTCTTGGTTTCTCCTTTGCTTGCTCTAGTTTCGTCATTCTTCTTGGCTTCCTTTATGGTGAGGATCACCAGACCCAAGGGAAGTGAAAAGGCAAGTAATGCTGAAAAGAGGGATGCCACAAAATGATGAAAGGGGAAATAGCTAAGAGGAGGAGGCCCACAAACCCAAGCCCACGGGCCCAGCAAAAAGAAGCCATTAATTCCTTTTTCCCTTATCACAAAGGACAAGAAATTTCTATTTATATGTTTTCTAACCTATTCTTTAGCTTCTTCAAAGTTACCGCAAAAGCTCTTCCAGTTACCATCAACCTAGAAACTGACCCTTTCAAGGGTATGTATGTATCCTTGCTCAGCATGGGAACACCTGGCACTTTGTCTGTCAGCACACTGCTCCCAGGAGGCCACCGCAGGCCCTGTTTATATGAGTGACAGCAAAGGCCCCAGCTAGCACCCTGAGGCTGGGGAAGAGTCCTTGCTCAGCACCACTGTCACGTGCCTCATGTCCCTCCCCCACTTCCTGACCATAATGCAGTGTCCCCCGGGGCTGGTATCTCTGCAAACTCCCTCTTCCCAGCTCCAAATCTGGATTCCAAAGGTTTTGGGCCTCCTCAGATGATCTCACAATTGGAGGAGGGAACAAAACTTAGGAGACTTACAAATCCAAAATCCCAGTTTCCCACTAGAATCTAGCCCTCCCTACCACCTAGCCTAGCAGCACAGAAGGTATGGTTTTCGATTTGGGGACAAACAGCACAGGCTAACTGGAGGCACTCTGGTGATGCTAAAATGGACGGGAGAGCTAAGAGGTCAAAGAAGCAAATAACCAGAAAAGACTTTTCCAGTTTAGAATGTAGATGTATAACTGACATTGTACATCTAGTGTCCTTCCTATTGGGGAATGCCATTCATAGGGACCACCTGCCTAATAATGAATATCATGTCTCATTCTCAACCAAAGACTCCAGCTACTCTGACACCACTTGCCAGATCCTGAATACTAAGGGGTATTCAGTTTCAAGGTTGGATCCCAAATTCTTAACAGCCCTTAGAATTATGTTTGGACTGCTGTTTAGGTGTCCCTGCAATATTGTTTCTATTCCCCAGGCCCACTTAAAGAGACAGAGTACTAATTGAAGAGAAATGAAGAGCAATCTTCCTCTAATTTCACACGTGTCCCTTAGGTCAGGAATGACTATCCAGTGATGTCCCACCCTCTTTTCCTTTGGGTCTGTGAGGACTGTGGTAAGTCTTTTCTAACCACTACCACCATGGACATGAACACCCATACGCAGGCTTAGCCTATTTTAAAATAGGTTTTAAGAGTGCCCCGCCCACAGGACTTTCAAGGCAGCCTTTCCACCCCAGTTAGTATCTACTTCACTTTCCCAGTTCTGGCCTCAGGAAAAACACCCCCTCAGTTCCAAAATGCCCAGAATCTCTGGAGAACCCACACCTAGGTCCAGTCTAATATCATTTCAGGGTTCCTCCTTGGGAACACCACCAATGTTTGCCTCATTAACAGACAAAACTTCAGAGCCCCGTTGGAGCTCACACATGTGCTCAAATCTACAAGCCAGAAAGCCTGTGCTAGTGAGAGAGAAAAGCAGACTCTCCCACGAGGGACAGAAGTCTCAGAGGGAGATTTTCTTTTGTTTAACCCCTTGAACCCAACAGCACATTGTTAAGTGACTTCTCCAATGACATCAAAGGGACTTTAAAGTCTTTTTGGGAAACAGCTTTCTTCCTGTCTCCTAAGAATGGGGAGAAGGAATACATCGTCCCCTAAGAGATGAGAGAATAAGAGGGCTCTGATAGGGAAAAGATAGGAACAGAAGGTAAGTAGGAATGGCCTAGATGGCAGAGACCCCTAGGCTTATCTTGAGACAGGGATCTGGGTGCAGAGGCTGAGTCCGTGCGACCCTGACTGGTTGCAGGCTTCAATAAATTGATGACCATAGTCCCAAGGTGATCACTTAGAGCAGGAAGCATGCCTGCTCCCTTCTTAGAGTCAGAAAAGCTGGCTAAAAACCCTCAGCCTTGAGCAAAAGAGAAGTCATCTGCCAGGCTGGCAGCTGAAACTCAGAACTCAGTATTTATGGGTGCAACTGCAAATTTCACCCAATTTAGCATCCACTGTATAACTTTCTGCCCAGGACAAGGTTTGAAATGTTCCAGTGGTTCCCCCAAGGCCACTGCACAGGCCAGCTGCATTATTTAAGAAGGCCTGTGCAGCTCCGACCTAATCATCCTAGATACAGAATCTTCTCCTAAGGCCACTGTCACCACAAGAATATATGGCTCTGCTACAGTTCAAGGCCTGAGCAACAGCCTAGGTGGTCGTGTCCCCGCATCTACAGAGCCTCCTGGCCTGCCGGCCTGCCTGCCGCAGTGTGCGAGCCTGTGCCCACCTCGACCCCCGCAGCGAGCTTAACGGAAGGCAGGCGGGGAGGGGGCAGGGGAGCGGCCAACGCCTTCCAACGGCAGCTGGGGGCGAGGGGGGGCTCGAACGGGGGTCTCCCGGCGAATGGGCTGGGGCGCTGCTGGTGTACAGGGATCCCAGGGCTTCCCTGCAGGGGCCGGACCAACGGCTGGGCTGACGTTCCGCTGGCCGGTGGCCGCTCTCCTGGGCGGCCCCGCCCCCTTGCACTTGTGTGACCTTGGAGCTCTGTGCACGGATCCCTCCTCCGGGCTCGCGCTGGGCTGAGCCCTGCAAACGCTGGGGGCCACTTGGAGGTTTGGCTGGTGGCAGCCCCGAGGCTCTGCCCCTCCTGCGGTGGCTTCCAGTTGCAGTTACCTTCCTATTTCCCTGCACAGGCTCCGCGTAGGGTCCCTGGTGCTACATGAACAGTTTCAACCTGGACGTGGGGAGGCAGTGGTATAGCCTTCTGCCCTTACCAGCCCTTCCGGCTTCATTTTCTTCATCTTAATTGCTTGGGCCATCGCAGACTTTTCTGGACCATGGGGGTTGGGGCAGGTGCCCATTTACCACCTCTCAGTCCTCCCCAGAAATGAAGTCATTTCACCCTTTCCCTCCTCCACTCCATGCTGAGGCTCTCATATCAAGCTTCTTCCTGCCTCCGTGCCCACCCATTCTTCTTGCCCTCATCTGGGGTAAAGAGGTTCTGGCTGAGCAAAGGTGGCCATCCTGCCACCTCCCCCGTGCAGCTCCTTGTTCGGAAGCATCTGAGGCATCTGAGCATCTGTGCTCCTGTCACTCCCATGTTTCTGGTCCCTTCTGGGTCTATCTGGCATTCTCTATGTTGTCCTGTCATCACCCTCTCCCAGGTGTCAGTCACCACACATCCTTCAACTTGCTTCTCCTTCAGGTCCAAAGGGCATGTGCTGGTGGAAAGCAGCACTTGGCACTGTCTGTATTGGCCTCCGTGCTTGGCTTATTAAACTCAGACATTTAATGAATATCATTTTGAAAAACATTTTTACTTGAGCATTTACTTATTGATTACAGGTTTAACACACATCTTCTATGTTATTTAAATTACAAAGTTAGGATAGTTGAGTCATTTGAACACTTCAATGGCTTAAACAGCAGACACAACTGGAACTTCTTACCAAAACTGTAATAGCTTTATAACTCCCCACCTCCCCAAAGGCAACAATTGAACTTTGTTTCTTACACCTACTCTTTCCTTGGGCAGAGGGAGAAAGAGATGCCAAAACAGGGACAGTGGTTATTTGTTGGCGATGAGATAAATGCTTTCCATTTTCCTATTTATCTGTGTTTTCTACAAAGCAAATATATTTTTAAAGCCTTTTTTAAAAGAGACATGAAGAGACTGTGGGAACAGGGAATCAAAACCTTTGACAATCTGATCAAAGGACATGTGTCTGCTCTTTCAGGGAATTTTCCCTAACACTTGCAAGCCTTTCCCACACGGTGTGGTCCTAACAAAGAAGAGGCAAGGGCAGCTTAGGGTAGAGGGAGGGGAACTGGTGTGGAAAATGTTAGTGGGGATTCTGACCATGGTTTGGGGCAGAGGAACCTGAGCGATTCATTGTACCTCCCCTAAGAGAGGGACCAGCCGAGTGACACTGCGCACTCGTGAGCTGGGAGCAGATTGCTCTGTCCCCAGGGGGTATCCCATATTTTGTTTATTCAATCCTCAGGCTGCTTTCCCACTCTTTGGAAAGTGTAGGGCAGGATTCCAAATTACAGCCACCAGAGTATTCAAAATAATTTGGGAGAGCCTAGGGGTTAAGACTCCGGCTGTGAAATCAGACAGGACCAGCTTTCATCTAAACTCTCCACACCGATCAGGTGTGTGACCTTGGGCAAGCCATCCAAACAAAGAGCCCCTGATTTTTCCATCTCTATACAAGTGATAATACTCGCTGGAAGGATTATCATACATCACGGCACCTGTCACGTCGTCAGCGCTTAGCTGATGAGAGTTAGTAGCCCTCTTCCTGCTTCCCCCCCGTTGTCAGACCCCGGAGCCCACGGCCTCCTTCAGCATGCACCTTATTCCCATCTGTGTCCCCAACACTCTGCATGGACTCAATATGAGATAGTCTTAGGTAATCGTAGATAGCTAAGATTTTTTTCCTTTTCATAGAACCCTTTGCAGACCCTGAGGAAGGGTGCCCCCTGACCCTCACAGTCCCTTAGGGTGTGCCAGGGTCTAAGATCTTGGGTCTCTAGAGGAATCTGGCCAGAGCTGGAGGGTCCATCATGCCCAGGGGGCATGGAGAGTCCCACTTAGGCTCTGACTCGACCTCCTAAATGAGCAGTGCCCAGCTGAGGGCCCAGGGTGAATGGGCCTCCCACTCCCAATCCGAGGCTGACTTGACCACCCCAGACTTTGATGCTCCCTGGGAGGAAACACTTGCACAAGACCCAGGGTCCTGTCCTCCCCGGTCAAAATCCGACCTCCTCTGTGGCAGGAAGGCCCCGGGTGTGGAGCTCAGTCAGTCATGCCTCCCCAGCAGGGCCCCTTCATCTACCTCTGTTTCCACTGCATCCTCACCATTGCCCTTTCCCTGGCCCAGACCCTCAAGGGTCCTCTTCCCCTTCATGCCTTTACCTTCTCCCTGTGAGTGCTGAGGCCCCCAGAATTCAACCTGCCCAGTGCCCTGTCAGGTTTTGATGTGGGGAGCTTCTGTAGAGATTTTTACCAGGCAGAGGAGCCCCACAGTCACGCGTCACCCCCTCAGCTTCCCTCAGCACATTTCCCTACTTCTTCTGTTCCCTTCTCAGTGTCCTGGAGCAGCCTCTTTAATCTCTTCCTCCTAAATCAGCCCCCATCTGGCCAATTCCAAGGGGTCTGATGACAGGTGCATCAAGTCTCGAAAGAGGCATCTCCAGCTTTAAAAGCGGGGTTTTGGGTGTCAGTAACCGGCAACTGTCAGCTCTAGTCCGTCCATGGAGACAGGGACTCTGATGGGGCCTTTGAAGTCCCACTCTCAGGTCCAAGCCCACGCTGCTTGCCTGCCACCCTCCCCTACCCATCCAGGTGTAGCTGGGAGAGACCATCTCTCCGTGACAACATGTGCATAATTTGTGGGGGGAATGGAAGAACATTTAGATCTTTTTATTTACTACAAAAATAAAAGACATGCATTTGATCATGAGTGTCAGGGACTGGGAGGTAATGACAAGCCAAATGGAAAAATAACAGAACTTCTAAATTAGCCAGGGGAAAGGGGAGAAAAAATAATGGAAAAGAAGGAAAGCAAAAAAAAAAAAAAAAAGTACAAATGCAAATCTATAAACAAGAAAGCAGAAATAGGAGTATTACTATGAGGCAAGGTTGACCCAATTATGTCACAAACTTATATACATCTAGGAATACAGTAGCTAAGTGTAACAAGCAAAAACAATTAGCCACGCGAGAACTTGATTTCAAAATACAGCCATGATGGGAGATTTAAAAATATCCCAAGAATCCTCTTGTTTTGTTTATTGTTCCAAAATTAGATAAGACGATCTTAGAACTGATGTGGGAGAGCACATGTCTAAAATCGTTAAGAAAATCATGTAAAGGAAGACTGCTGAGGAATCTTACCTCGTGAGATGTAGATAAGGTCCTCAAAAGAGCTGCTGAATGCAAGGGCTTGGGGCACAGGAGGGTTGACGGGTCGCCTCAGCCGGGGACCGCTGTGGAGAGGGCAGCTCCCAGCTCTCAGTGGCTGCACTGGCGCTGCAGGGTGGCCTCCACCAGGAAGGAGACAAGGGTAGAGCTGACCCTGTTGGTGGCTCCAGCTGGTGGCGAAACTAGCGATAGAAAATTTAAAATAATGCCATGGCTATGATTTCTCACTCTAGGGTTGGAGAACATGCAAAGAAATAAAGAAATGTGAATTGACTAGACAATGTTTGAATATTCATTCAACAAACGGATCCTACAGGCAGGGTACTGGGGGATCACATAGCTACTCTTTGGCTACAGCTGCAGGAGAAGACGTTTTCCTTTAAGGGGATATATACACTTCACGGCTCAGATTGAACGGTGTCTGGAACTGACTGGGTCCTCTCGGAACCCAGCTCGTGGCCCAAACTCACAATTTCTCAGATGCAACCAGAGAAGCCAGGGTACTATCCGCTGTCTAGGACTCCTATCCCCATCCCTAGCCTATACTCCTATACTCAAAGCATATTTTGTGAAAGAAACCTGTCACGTAGAAGATCTATCTACATATATATATATATCTAGATAATATATATATGCATATATACACACACATGCCCATACACATGTATATACATATATGTATGTGAATGGATAAACTTTTTTCAGGGCAGAGAGAGGGAGGGAAAGACTGAGACACGGTGGCTCCCTTAGAGCAAAGCACACTGTTGTTACAGAACAGTGGGTAAGGCTAACTGATATGTGATTGGTTTCACTTAGGTTTCCTATCGTAAGTGGAGCCAGCTAGGTAGTTATTGCAAGGACTCCAGAAAACCTCTATCTAACTTCACTTTCTTCCATGATTAATAAAAATAATAACAATAATAGAGGTTGACTTGGGATGGTCCCGAAGAAACACCCCCACGGGATCAAATCCTCTTGACACTTGGAGGAGGACGCAGATAGTATTTGGGGCTTGCAGAATCCCCAAATCAGCAAAAATGAGCCAACATTTCAGAAGATGATGTGGGGCAAGAATAGCTGGTGGGGAAGGAAGCCAGAAACAACCTTTTTTTTCTGTATTCTGTTAAGAGGAAGTAAGTCTGGAAATAAATCTTTGTCTTCAAAGAGCTAAGTCTCACGGGGAGGCATATAAAAGTACAGGCAAATGGAAAACACACGCTTGGTGCTTTAACAGTAGAAATACAGGGTGGAGGCCCACATAAGAGACAGCTGTGCAGGTAGGGAATGCCTCCAGGAGGAAGCCATGTCTGAGCCTTGAAGAATGAATGGGAGTAGGTGAACAGTGGCTTCAGGGTGGTGAAGGCTTTCCAGTAGAGGGAATGGTACCTGCAAAGGGTAGAGCATATGTAGGGGAAAAAGTAAAGTTCATTATGGCTGCAGTGGCGCACGTTGGAGGGCAGGAGTGGCGAAGGCCTTTAAAACATGTTAAAAGAGAAAAGCAGTGTCTTTTTTTATTTTAATCTTAGTTCCTGCTCCCCTCTTGGCTTCCCCGAAAGAAGAAATCAGCAATAAAAAACAGACACAGACACGTCTTCTGCAAGATACATTCAGAAAAAAATAAACAGAGGAAAAATATTTCAGACATAAACACGTATCAGAAGAAAGCAAGCATGGCAGAGAAAAACAGATAAAGCAACAAAAGGATGGAAATGGACAGTGGATGGGGTGGGAGGAGCCACAGGCCAGCAGAAGAGAGCTATGGAAGACAGTGTGGTCAAGGAGCGGGAGGGAGAGGGGAGGAGAGCAGGGGCCCCCAAGAACTCGGGGCAGGTTCAGGCACTAGCGCTCAGACCCTGCTGACCACACACGGGCTCCCTGACCTTGTGGGGAGGCTCTCTTGCCCAACCAGACCTCTCTCTTCCCTCAGTTCTCAGCTCCAAGGGAACGGGAGAAAGATGTTTGCAAATCTTCAAGTTTGGAGAGGGGAAAGCAGAGTAAAGACCATTGCCTCCATGTGCAGCCAAAGAAGCGCCAGAGGTCCCAAGAATTGTAGTTGGTGGAGTGATAACATTTATTTCCTTTCCTAGGGCTGCTCCACGGGTGGTGTTTGTAAACTTTTTGAAGGAGCTTGGAACAAAGCTGCTCCCAGAGACTCAGTGGGTAGCTGTGCCCCAGCCTGAACTGGAAGGTTAGAGGTGAGCTGCTGAGCCTGGAAGGGAACCAAGGCGACACGGACTAGGGGCTCTGTGGCAGCTGAAGGCAGGGACAGATGGTGGAAAGCCTTGGAGCAGCTCTGCCTGTGAGCTCTTTGAGGCTGATGCTTTGTGTCATAAATTTGACTCTGCTCAGCCCCTAGGGTGTGGTAGACGTGTTCCAAGTGCTTGCTGAATGGATGAAAGGAGGTGGCTGAGAAAAGCATATGCTAATGAGACCGCCTAAAACCCCCCCTGACTAATAATAATCAGCTACTCCCTGAGTCCTTGAAGACACTGCTATGAGCTGCTGCCTGCAGCCTCTAACCAGCCCACAGAGTAAAGCCATGGCCTCTGCCAGGGAGCGCTGTGACCCGAGGGGAAGCTTTGGAAACTTTGGCAACTAGTCTAAGAGCTCCTCCGGGGAATTCCTTGAAATCATAACATAAAATCCTGAAACCTCTAAAAGGAAGTCTGGAAGCCCCCGTCTGAAATCCTTGGAATCCCTACCAGGAAACCCTGGAGCCCTGCTGGGAGGCCCTGGCAGTGCTGCTCAGGGTGACGGACAGCCTCTCAAGCTTGCGTTACTGCGTTGTCTCTGCCTTTGCACCAACAACTCCTGCTGGAGTAGGGGACGGGATTACCGTTTTGTTTTAATAGCAGTGGCTGTGTCCCAGTCACTTGGGCCCAGAAGGCCCATCCCAAAAGGACAGGGCATGGACTTCCCAGGTCTCCTATCAAGATGGTGGGACTTTGGGAAGGCTGGTCCTCATTAGCCGTCAGGTGCAGGGCTTGAAACCATTTCTGGGTGGTTTTGGTTGAAGGACGGAAATCATGGCGTGCGCGCGCGTGCGTGCGTGCGTGCGTGCGTGTGTGTGTGTGTGTAGGCAGCCAGAGGCTGGAGCACAGATACTGACAGGAGTGGATGCTATCTGACCCCTGAAAAATGTCATTCTCTGTTCACAAAGAGATGACTCAAGCGGTTCTACTCGTGGACTCTGATGGTTTCACTCTCTAGGCTTCCTTGGGGGAAAAAAATGTTTTTTGAAATGTATTTAGCTTAGAGAGAAAAACATTCATGTCAGAGATAAGAGACAGATGCAGGGACAGCTTCAGAAAAAGAAAAAAAATGTAGACAGATCCTGTAGCAGAGGGAAAGGGAAAAAAACACAAATTTTAAAAAGGGATATTAAAGTAAAAGGAGGCAGTAAAGATTGGGAAATCACGGCTCACAGTATCAGAAACCAACACACAGGCAGGGCACTGCTGTCAACTGGGTGGTGGAAGGCATCTCTGTCATAGATGGCGAGCTTCCTTAGAAAGACTTTCTTTCTGTAATTCTGAGAGAAAAAGGAGATATGAGAAAAGACAAGTGGCTTAAGGGGTGTGTCTGAGGGAAGCAGAAATGAAAAGGGACAAGGGAATATACTGGGACTGAAGGATAAAAATTTTCCTTTCTCCTTCCTCTCCTCTTCCAGCCTCCCCAAATGTGTTTCTAGGCATAAGATCTAATAGAATGAAGGGAAAGAAGAACTAGGTGGCATACGGGAGGCTAAGACCAACCCCAGCTCTGTGAGCTGCTGGGAGGACTGCCAGGACCCAGCACATGGTCAGGTTCACGGCTGTGATTCATGACAGCAACAGTACACAAAGCAAAGTCAGCAAAAGGAGATGGTATGTAGAGCACAAAGCCTGGAGTCTTCTCCCAGTGGAGTCACACAGGACATGCTCACTTCCTCCAGCAATGAGTTACGACAACACACTTGAAATTCTGTCTATCAGAGAAGCTTGTTAGAAGCTCGGTGCCCAGGGATTTTATTGGGAGCTGGTCGTACGGACATCCTCTGCCTGCCGTGTAGCAAAATCCCAGACTCCCAGAAGGAACACAGATGCTCAGCACAAACCAAACTGTTTGTACAAACTGGATGTATAAATAGTGAGCCACTCGAATCAGTTAGGGTGGCAGGAACCTTAAATCCAAGTTACCAGAACCCAGGTTCCTGGCGGCTCAGCCTGGCACACAGGCTTTTCCAGGGGAGCAGCCTGGAGCCTGCGGTCTTCACTCTTTTCCACACAAGGTGCTTTGGGTGAGCACGAGCTGATGTGTTCCCCACATGCCTTCCTCTCTAGTCAAGCTAAGAAGCTGAAATCCAGTCCATGCCTTAGGGACCATTTGAATGATCTGAAACGGTGTAGGTGCTGCTGAGCAGCTCTACTGTAGAAAAAAAGAAGGCTTGGTAGTTGTCAGAAGTGTTCCCAATTAGGCCTAACATGGAGAGGGGTCTTGGTGACACTTCTGAAACCTGGCATCCCTCTCTACCTCCACGACCTGACTGAAACAAGCCCCGAACTTGGCTGCCTCGGGAGGGCTTCCTCTGGTTGTTAGCAGCACCTGCTCTGTATGACTGGGGGCCTCCTCTCGCCGCCATCAGCAGATGAGCTGGAGAAACGGGGGACTTTATTCTCTCAGTACCCTCCTCCGACTTCTTAAGAATCTATGTCCATCTCTTTCCTCTACATCTCCATTTTCAATCATATAAAGGGATCTAAAATCACACTGAGGTAGACAAGCTTGAAGGATGTGTGAAAGAGTTATTTTTAAACACTAGATTAAATCCACCCTTTAATTTAAGGAGAGTCCCAAATAATGAGCTCTGGAGGTGGCTTGCCTCCTGAATGCAGGGATGTAGCCCCTCCAATTTCCCACCTGAAGATCACACATGGCAGTGGGATCCCTCTTGGTGTCCTCCTCTCTCCCTGCAGGGCTGAGTGTGTTCATTCCCTTGGTTTACAGGCATTGGGCAAAGACGGGGCCATCACGGCACTTTTTACTGAAGCTATCCTTGGCATTAGAGCCAACTGTCAGCAGAAAAATGACTCAGTCACCTAGAATCAGACAAGGAATGACCGCAAATCAGGAGCTAAAGGCAATCTCAAATAGGAAAACATGATTGAAATCTGATCTTTTTGATATTTTTTACAGTTAATGTCTTTGGGTTAAGGTTAGTATTTCCCCATGACAATCTTATGAGAATTTGAGAATTTTTGATGAAACTAAGAACCAGTTTTAGAAAAAAAAGGGGGGGGGGCAGGGATTTTCCAGAGCAGTCAAATCCATGGGAGTGTAAAGTGAGACCTGAAATTAGAGCCAGAAACTGACTCGATGGGTTTATGTTGAAAGGCTTTGGGCTGGTGGTGCTGTGTTAGGTGAGAATTCAGACTCTTGAAAATACTTTATCCTCACTCCCCTGCTGATGGAAACTCAGGAAGCCTTAGTGTACCTTATCTGGAACCAGGAAAATGAACTGCTATTCATTCTGGAGAGATTTTTCTAGTGTCCCTTCTGAAACCTGTCTCATGAATCGTCTTGGACAAATTGGTAAATGATCCCATTTACCTTCTTTAAGGAAAACTGATTGTAGAAGGCAACTTCTGTCTTTGGAACCTTTTCTCAGAATTCACCCTGGGGCTACGTATACAATTGGCAAGTGTGCTTACAGATTTCTCAGCCTACTCTTTTGTGCACTCTTCTCCTTTTCCTAAAACCTCTTTCCATGTACCCCTGACCCTCCCCTTCTCTCTCCTCTTCTCAGAGCTTGCACATATACCTTTATAAAAGATCTAATGATTTACCTGCCAGTGTGTTTAATTTCTAAGAAGGTCCAGTTCTTTCACCTAAGGAAATACAGCTGCAGTGATATACTCTAATGCATTATTAGCAAGGGTTGGTTTAGCCTTTTTAAGGAGTGAGGCTTTCCTGATGCTTTAAACTTCCCCAAATGCTGTAATGTAGACATGATCTCATTGGTCAAGGAAACTCTCAACAGTCCATATCAAGACCCGAAGGATGGTAGCTCTTCTCACCATTCTTCTAGGGCAGAGTCTTGTAAGATTCCATGAGGATCAGCATTCTTGATCTATGAGGATTGGGCATAGAAAAGATGGACATCGTGATCTCATCTTGACTTGGGCTATTGGGCTCTGCTCCTATAATTGCTCAACCAGTGTCCTCCTTTGAGTCCTTCTGCCCTCCCTCTGGTCTCCCTTGCTAATTGGGTTCTAATCTGTCTGTGACAGTGCAATATAAGGTAGTTATTAGGGAAAATAATAGCAAAACATAGAAGCAATAAAAGAGAGAAAGAACAGTGACCGAGAGAGAGACAAATGTGGAGAAAGATGGATACAGAAATAATATACACAAGATACAGCAGGAAACAAATAAGATAGGAGAGATGGAACAACAAAGAGTCATAAATGGATATAGGGATTTATCTCAGCAAAGCAAAAGCTTGTCAACATACAAAACTCAATCAATGTAAAACAACACATTAATAGAATGAAGGGGGAAAAAACACAAGATCATCTCAACAGATGTGAAAAAACATTTGACAAAATCCAACACCCTTTAGTGGTAAGAACATTCAGAAAACTAGGAATAGTAGAAGGGAATTTCCTTAATATAATAAAAGTCATTTATGAAAAAACCTACAGCTAACATCAATGATGACAGATGGAAATCTTTTCCCTAAAGAGAAAGAACAAAAGGAGGTGCTCATTTTTGCCATTGCTATTCAATATTGTACCAGATGTTCCAGCCAGAGCAACTATTCAAGAAAAAAATAGGGATCTAAATTGAAAAGGAGGAAGTAAAACTCTCTCTATTCAC